CAGTTTGTTTTGAAGCAAGGAGTTCCCTTGTCAATCCCCTGGAGCCAAGGATCTTTGAGGATCCTGGTGTTGATCCCATCTTTGATGTCCTTGCTGAAGCAGTTAAGATATATATTTTTAATGGCCATCCAACAGTTCCACATCCAGGATGAGCTGTGGGTCTTTTGAGCCTCAAGAACAGTTCCCTTTGGAAAGTATTTAGCTTTCAAGAGCTTTGATACAAGCAAGTTGGGCATAGTTAGGAGTCTCCAGATTTGTTTTACAACCAGAGCTTCATTGAAGAGCTGAATATCCTGGAACCCCAGCCCACCCCACTCTTTAGGTGTAGTTACCCAATCCCAGCTTTTCCAGTGTAAGCCTTTGTTATGCATTTCCCCAGAGCTCCACCAAAAGCTTGCACACAACTTAGAAATTTTTTTACAAATACCTTTAGGCAAGGAGAAAACAGACATGTTGGACATGATTGTATTAGGTGTTTGTAAATAAATATTTGGTAAATAACAAAATGTATAGTTATTTTGAAAATTTTATATTGGATTCGTGACTTCGACCTCGAGATTGGATTCGTGACTTCGGCTCCGACCCAAGTCCACAACAGCAAGATCCTCAAGAAGGGTGACATGTTTGTTGTCCCGGTCGGGCTCCTCCGCTACTTTCGCAACGGCCCAGAATTTAAATACGGTCTTGTTGGCCGTGGTCAACAGTCAAAATGCCGGTATAATAACCTTCACAATGGCATTTCCGGGGCTAAGCCGCGGGTAAATGCTGAGTACTTAGCCAGGGCCTACCAGCTGGACGAGCATACCATCCAACGGCTCCAGCTGGGCGCCATATAATTTCTGATCTAATCTTAGCATTATTAGTTCTTCATTTTCATTACTAACTACTACTACATACTCTCTCCATATGAAATTATAAGTCGCTTTGACTTTTTTTGTACATCCACTTTGCTATGTATCTAGATAATAATATGTCTAGATACATAGCAAAATGGATGAATAAAAAAAGTTAAAACGACTTATAATTTGAAACGGAGGGAGTATATAACAATATTTTTGCTGGTCATAGATTAGTAGTGTCTCAGTTGATCGGGTGAGATGAAATATTAAATTTATGTTTAGGATAAAAAAAATTAGGCAGGTTGGCATAATCACTATTTTTCTTTTTTCTTTTTTTTTTTTTTTTTTTTTTTTTTTTTTTTTTTTTTTTTTTTACTTTTGGTATTTCATATCTTCATTTTCTAGCATGTAGTAATTAAGAAAATATACTCAATTAGAATGTGGTCTCATTCTCCATTAATTATTTTAAATCTTTATATTTGAATACTTTCTTTGGAAATTGGAATAATATCAAATAATAACGATTATGAATCCCATTTCTTAAGCAAAGTATCACTCAAATAATATGCTCTTGCCAAAACTATTCCACATAAAATAAATTCATTATTTCATAAGAATTGATATGATTGAAGAATGAAATCATTTAGCAATATTTGGAATCTATAAAATGAAATCAAGATCACTGATTTATAAATGCTATTTTGAAAAACAACTACCTTTATAATTAAAGGTAATATGAATGTATTGACAAAATAATATAAATAAATATGAAATAAAATGTTTAGATTATCATATCGAATAATGCTCACCTACCCATGGTGGACACATATTAATATGTCCACCACTTATGTGGTATGCACTCATTGGTGATGTATTTTTTTGAACATATTAACATCACCAATGTGTGCATGCCACATAAACGGTGGACATATTAACATGTGTCCACCATGGATAGAGGATCATTATCCTTGTCCATATAAAACCGGCTAGAAGGCGTTCTGAATTATTCTATTTTTGGCCATTTTATTTATAAAAAAATTATAAAATGGAAATTTCAATTTCAAAAATTATATATATAAAAAAAATACCAAGTGGACTACTATACAATATTTTACGAAATCAATGGATAATTAGTTTTTTTAACTATGCATGGATTTTGGCAAGATGGCAGACAATCAAATACAATATCCAAAAGCATTTTCCTTAAATAAATACATTATTCATAGTATGATCATATATAGGAGAATAAATCAGCCAATTAGAGTCACCAATTTCTCTCTAATCACCTATATATAACTGCCTTATCACTTTACATCGTTTCCTCATCCCAACACAAAGCACTTCCATTTCCTCTAATCATCAACTAACCAACCACAACATTCAAAAATGGCTTCAAACACTCTCTTCCTCACCATCCTCACAATAATCCTCAACTTCATCTTCATTTCCCATGCTTTTGATCCAAGACCACTCCAAGACTTCTGTGTTGCAGACACCAAAAGCTCGGTCAGATTCGGGTCGGGTTTCCCGTGCAAGGACCCAGCCTTGGTCAAAGCCGATGACTTCCTCCTTCGTGGGCTACACCTCCCGGGCAACACGTCCAACCCGTTGAGGGCAGCCCTGACTCCAGTCAGTGTGGCTACCCTCCCGGGCCTCAACACATTGGGCCTTACCCTGGCCCGACTCGACCTGGCCCCACAAGGGTTCATACCGCCACATTACCACCCGCGGGCCACCGAGGCCATCACGGTTCTCGAGGGCAGCATTGAGGTCGGGTTCGTGAGCTCAGCTCCTTCTTACGTACACTACAGCAAGAACCTCGAAAAGGGTGACGTGTTCATAATCCCAGTCGGGCTTCTTCACTACTTTCGCAATGCGGGGCAAAACAACACAGTTTTGTTGGCCGTGGTCAATAGCCAGAATGCGGGTATTGTACCATTTACCAATGGTATTTTTGCAGCCAAGCCGCCAATCGACAGTGAGTATTTGGGCAAGGCGTACCAGCTGGATGAGAAGACTATCCAGCGACTACAAGCCTCTTTCTAGATTAGTATTATGTATGAAGTAATGGGTGTATTGTTATTGTGGAATATGATAAATAATTGAGCTACTTGTTTCTGTTTGGCATCAGTGTTTGTGAGTTACCAAAAGAGAAACATCATGAAAAAAAAAATGTCCATAGGTTCGTTCAATCTGGTATACAAGCTTCATATAAATTGCAATATATGAAGACTAGTGAGACCCAACAAACATATAAAAGTACTTCTAAGTCGCACATGTGAGAGTGAGACACTTTCATACAAACTCGATGTGGAATAGGACTTCTAAAATTTTAAATATATAAATTGAAGAAAACTGAATCTTTTTGAGCTCAAAAACTGAAAGAACACCAAGAAGTACCAAAAAGAAAGAAGGCCAAGCAATAAAAAAGGAGAGAGGAGAGGCAATGATGATGCATAACACAAGCAGTCAAGTGATTTGTATAAACCGCTTCAAACGCTCTTTCCAGATGGGATTTCTGATTAGAAGCATTTTCTGTGAACAATTGAGGGCCCAGATTCATCGTACTCTGCTTTGGCTATCCACATCTACAAAGAAGAAAACAAAACAACAAGCATTTTCAGTTGTATTGAGGCGCTTGCCAGAACTACTCCAGCTCCAAAACGCAGTCAAGTTTTTTAGTAAGCAAAACTACTGTACTTCCTATCCAGACAGTAAGCAATATATATATTATATATATACCTGCTGGAAAGTGCTGAGAGAGGCCAAAATTGACCCTCCGATCCAGACACTGTACTTCCTCTCGGGCGGGGCCACCACCTTAATCTTCATGCTGCTCGGAGCAAGGGCCGTGATCTCTTTGCTCATCCGGTCAGCAATGCCCGGGAACATGGTGGTCCCACCACTCAGCACAATGTTCCCGTACAAATCCTTCCTAATATCCACGTCACACTTCATAATCGAGTTATAGGTAGTCTCATGAATGCCAGCAGCTTCCATTCCGATCATGGATGGCTGAAAGAGGACCTCCGGGCACCTGAATCGTTCTGCACCAATGGTGATGACCTGTCCATCTGGCAATTCATAATTCTTTTCGACAGCCGAACTCGTTTTTGCCGTTTCCAGCTCTTGTTCGTAGTCTATGGCAATGTAGGCAAGCTTTTCTTTAATGTCCCTCACGATTTCGCGCTCGGCTGTGGTGGTGAAAGAGTAGCCTCTCTCAGTAAGAATTTTCATGAGATGGTCCGTGAGATCACGGCCAGCAAGGTCAAGGCGGAGGATTGCGTGTGGTAGGGCATACCCTTCGTAGATGGGGACAGTGTGGCTGACACCATCACCCGAGTCGAGTACAATACCTGCCAAAAACAAGTGACGGTCATACAGAATGAGTAAACAGTACCTACAATATGGTTAAATGAATTAAGGCAAACCACAAAAACAACTTCCCTTATGTTTAGCCAAATACCTAATATTATCAGGAGTTAAATGAATACGTACTCGTGGACAATATCTCTACTTTAAAATTTACAAATAGCAACCTACAGAGAACTCTCATAAGAGGTAAATCAGGCTTATGAGTTGGAACACAAGTTTATCTTCACAAGTTCAGGCATCAGAGATCAGATATGAATAATTTATTAACCACACCGAAAAACACAGCAAGCAAAAAGCATGACATGCATGGGTAAATAGATAAATTGAATCTATTTATTCATATATATTTTTCCTTACCAGTTGTACGACCACTGGCATAAAGGGAGAGAACAGCCTGGATGGCAACATACATGGCCGGAGAGTTAAATGTCTCAAACATGATTTGAGTCATCTTTTCACGATTGGCCTTTGGGTTAAGAGGAGCTTCGGTCAAAAGGACCGGGTGCTCCTCAGGGGCAACACGAAGCTCGTTGTAGAAAGTGTGGTGCCAAATTTTCTCCATGTCATCCCAGTTGCTCACAATTCCGTGCTCAATTGGGTACTTGAGAGTCAAAATACCTCTCTTGGATTGGGCCTCGTCACCAACATAGGCATCTTTTTGGCCCATGCCGACCATCACACCCGTATGACGAGGGCGGCCCACTATGCTGGGGAAGACAGCCCTAGGAGCATCATCTCCAGCAAATCCAGCCTGATAATTCAGATGATCAAAAGTAAAAATTCAATAACATAAGTTTCTGCATCCTTAATGATATGATGAGGTTGTCTGATTCGGATATAATAATGGGATTACAATTGAAATGAATATTTTCTGGGTAGTGAACGTTTAGATTACCTTGACCATTCCAGTTCCATTGTCACAGACAAGGGGCTGAATATCCTCGGCTTCGGCCATCTCTTAATATTTTACTAAAAAAACAAAGAGAGGTGTCAACAATTGATAAATTATAATCAGGAAAACAGATATTGATAGTTTTGTCCAAACTACATTTGATCAAGAAAGGATCAATTTTTATTAGACGACCTTCAGTGCGAAGTGTCATTCTAATGAAAAGTAGAGCAATGTCGCATCAAATCAGATGGACCTCATGATTGAGTCTTGATACACACATTGAGGTAATCACAATGCAAACTATTCCCAAGCAACTATTTCTTTTGTTTTTTTTAGTTGACAACAAAATATTTAACAAACATTGGAATCTAATATCTTTCATGCTTCAGAAATGAACAACAAAGATCCTTCATTTCTAATTGCATTTGGAGATGATTCAGTAGCAGACGTTGAAGACCAAAATAGTAGCCAACTCCAGAGCATGAAAATCAAAAGCATCGACACAGTAATCAAAAAATATGAATCCACACACACGCTTATTCATTTAAATTTCAGCAGTCAGCGCTCTCGACTAATATTGCTCACAATTCAAAACTCATTAGCAGATCCATGAATAGAAACTGGCACAAAAAAAGCCTAAACAAATAGATCCCCCAATAAAAGGAAACGAATAAACAAGAAATGTACGCACGGATCAGACAATGCGAAACAATTAAGAAATAGAACACACAAAAAAGAACATATTTCCTAAAAAAATTAATCTTTCCTCAAAATTCGAATCTCGATGATGAAAAAGCTTATAATTTCAAAGTTAGCATCATACCTTTGAGGCCTTGCTGACAATGGATCAGTCTCTCTCTCTCTCTCTCTCTCTCTCTCTCTCTCTTCGCGCTTGCTCTGCGATAAAATGTGAACTGTGTTTTCCATTTGAATGGGGAGCTGGCTTTGTTTAAAACAGGAGAAATGAAACTCAGCCACAAATGAAATTCAGCTCAAATGAACCTCAAATTTCTGATCGTGAGTTCTGGGCCGTCGGATTGAATGAGACGTGGATCTGTCGGTTTTGTGGCACCCACGACAGCATCACACTGGTGGTGACTGGTGAGCATAGCTGGCTGGACATGTTGAAATGACCGATATGCCCTTCCCTTTTTAAGACTGTTCCCTTTTCACCTTCTGTCACTGACTCACTCTCTCTTGCTTGTAGAGGTTAATTTGGGGAATTTAACATGTTGTGTATGACTGTATTAAGAAGCTTTTCCCTTTTTGGGAGAAAAAAAGATAAATAAAAAGAAAGTCGGTCTGATTTCACGCGTAAAAATAAAAAAAAAAATTGTGTACCATTTGAACGTGTTATTTTATTGAACATGCATGTAATATCAAAAGTTGGGCTACTTGATACTTTATTGAACATTATTACATGAATAATTATAATTATAATTGTACATCTAACTCAGTCATTGATGTGCAAATCGCAATAATATAATTTTGGGATGGCCTCATAAAAATTTGAAAGAATGAGACATGTTTGGCAATCTTAATTCTTATAGTTTGTCACTTAATGTAAGGATCTGGAAACTGAACTCAAATAATGCATAGACTAATAACTTAGGGTAAATCTCGCTCTTTCGGTGTCATCACTGTAATTGTAATGATCCGGCTTTTCATCATTTGATCAGTAGACACTTCTGTAGATACACTTGTATGTTGATTTAAAGGTAAAAAGTATATATGGTGACTGTAAAATTTAAACTTAAGTTCCATGTTTCTCTTTTATATTAAAATTATAACTTATATGTACATGATTGATAATTGGAATAATAGTATCAATTTTGCTAGCTATTCTCAAAATAGTACTATATATGTAAATTATAGCCAATGGACCACAATACAATAAACAAGAGTTGGGCTGGAAAAGAAAAAGATTAAAAGGTGTATGAAATCCAGACTGTAAAGTGAAGCAAGATATAATTTTGTTGATCATGGACATGGAGGTTCATGCAGCTGAGATTCTCTCTTGTGGCATAAATATTTGTATAAACAGTATTAATGCATCATAAGAAGCATATGATTTGCAAACTGGAATTCTAAAAGTGACTCTCTCTCTCTCTCTCTCTCTCTCTCTCTCTCTCTCTCTCTCTCTCTCTCTCACACACACACACACACACACACACACACACACAAAATCCATTAGTTGCTTTAATTCTTGGTTGCCTTATGACTTGTCTAGTCATGAAGTTCATACTGTTAACTGATATAATAAATGACCCTGAGGAGTGACAATTGTGAGGAAGGAAATATTTAAAATTCAAATCCACAGATAAATGTTGCAAAACAAAGGAAAATTATGATTGACAAACAATAGTTACTGTGCTATGGTTCCAAGTTGGGACATATTTGGTACTAGTACTTTTGAAAGCTTTGAAGTCATCATTTTAAATATTCTTGAAAAGTATAAGTTGCATTCCAACGAATATTCAAAACATCAAATCTAAGGGCATTAGTTTAATAGCAACAATCTCATGATCCAATCTGGCATTACAAACTAAAGTTCAACTAGTAGTAATACCCATGTACAATATGAGTATTGAGTTAATGATATATGTGTAAAGTTATTTATGTCTAATACCACATCTAACTCCAGAGCAAAAATAATATAATAAAAACATTACGAAGCATAGATTTTTGTCATGTCAGCATCTGAAGCGTGAGAATCTGTTATCTAAGCTCAACACGTTTTGAATTAATATACAGGGAAGGATTACACTGCATCATTAAGGATCAAACAAGCAGATAAAAAGCATTTGTCCTCAACCCAAAACTCAAATTTATAATAATGTAGGTAAAATTACTCCAACTCTTCTACAAATTATAATATAAATGGGAAACACCAAAATATTATATAAGAAATGAATATTTTGACAGAATCATATTCTCTGCACGTCCAATGTTGAAATCTTGATAAAACTCAAGGGAGGAGAAAAAGAAACAAGAAAATAAATAATAACAAAAAAAAAAAAAAAAAAAAAA